AGGAGATGCTAAAGCACTAACTCCACAGCAACTTATTAATTACATACAGTAAGGGCTAGGGAGAAGCACAGGGTGCTTGACAGGGAATGAATGGGGACAGTTCCTGGAGTCAAGTCCTTAAGTCGTGCTGCAGGAGCACTAAATATTTGAGCAAAGGAGACAGAGACAATAGGCAGGAGAGAGAGCATCTCAGTGATGGTAAAGGCCTGTGTGGGGAAGGAGAGGAAGCAGTTAAGGAACCAGACTGCTCATGAGGCTACTATCCATAGAGCTTAGGGAAGTGGGAGGCAGGATGGTTGAGGCCAGCAGACCCAGGCTTGGAGATGCAGCTTTAGATAGAAAATAAGGGTATGTCTGTAAAAGGGTTTTAAGGAGGAGAGAAACCAGTCAGACTAGCGCTTCAAGAGGTGAGGATAATCGCCAGGAAGTCCAAGTGAGGCAAGGCCTGGGGAGGGCAAAGATGGAGCTGAGAGCCACTGGGCAGGGAAATCACCAAGGCTGGGTACTGAGTTAGCCACGAGGTGGGATGGTGGGCCAAGGGAAGGGCTACAGAGCCCGAAGCAGTTTCTCAGCAAGTTGTTGCCAGCCTCCCAAACTGCCAGGGGAGGGGGTTGCAGTGGGAGGATTTCAGATGGTCACTATCTGAGCTTGAGCCTGGCCTGGGAGATGAATAAAAGGCAGTGAGGAGGAGGGCCACCTCATAGGATGGAGACTCTGTGAGCCAAGGTTTGGACATGGGGACATGTAAAGCATTTGTGGGAACTGGGAACAGCCCATGAGTGGAGACAAAATTTGTCATGGAGTAGAGGGAGCCAAGAAAGCCGCAATTTCAGGGGTCCCCCCCCACATGCATAATGGGGCTCCCTGCCCTTACCATTTGGGCAGATCAAGAATGCCTGATGCCACCATCTTGCCTCCCACAGTATTGAGAGTAGTTGGGGTGGGGAGTGGTAAGAAAGTAGAGTGCACAGAATCCAGACCCCAGATGACACTTCTCTAGTATATATTAGGTAGTCCCACGTGGCGGCAACAGCTGGATGACATGCTGAAGGGCCACTGAAACGGTATTTCCCAGTGGGGACTCGTTTACCCACTCGCCAACTTATCCATCCACCTATGAATTCATCAGGCCTGTGCCTGATGCTGTCCTGGGGACCTGAGAGATGGGGTGCTCTGCCCACACTGTCTGCCTAGGCCTGATGAAGGTACCTTCAGACTGGCACCGAATGAAGCAGGGCACTGAGTGCCAGCCCACAGCAAAGGGCCTGGCAGGAATGGGTGCCTCCCCACCCTGCACGCTCTCCATTCAGTCCCCTGTAGGAACTATGTGCCACTAAGTGAGCCTTAAATACTGCTTTGTAACCTTCCGAGTTACACTGGCACCAGGCTTGAATTCTTCAGCTCTTCCAGGGAAGACATAATCAACAAAACATAGGAAGCCTGGCTTGCTGATCACAATTCTCCTCACCATCCCCACTGCAGTCTCCTGTCTAAGGATCAAAAGTGGGGTCTGCTCTATCTACCAGCAGAGGACTCATGGGATACAAGGCCAAGGATGCAGCCATGAGTGTGACACCAGGCCTGGTCCACTGCCCACCTCAAGCCCTCTGCTCGCCTCACTGCCTCTGTGAGACAAGTTCATCCCCATCTCTATCTCCCCTCACCCCTCTCCTCTCCAAGCCCTGACCAGGCTCCAGATCTTATCTGCAGGCTCTTTCCCCGCAGGGCCTCAGCTTGGCAATGGCCTTTTCTTTCTTCTTCCTTTTGCCAGAGCTCCAGCCAGCTGTCCCTTGCCACAGGCCTAGCCAGGTTCCAGCAACACCTTCTCTTCCCTTTAGGCCTAGGGGCTCTCCTGGGGCCCACCATTCCTTGTTGGCTGCCTGGTCCTCTCTGAGCACGTCATTAGCACTGGATACACCACCCTTAAAGCCCCACCACAAGCTCACATTTCACAGCCTCTCAGGCACACACTAGCTTCTCTTGCCTCTCAAAACTTTTAATCTCTACCACAGTAGAAAGAAATTGGGATTTGACCACCAGGCAAACTCTGGGATAGTTCTTCATTGTAGGAAAGTGTTCACATCATGCAAACACCTTGTTGGTGACATGTGTCCTGACCTCTACAGCCCACTGGTATTCAAAGACCAAGAAGGAGAATATCCTGTTTATTTATGGCACACACACTCTGCCAGGTGACCCCCATAATCCTGCCAGTAAGTTTACAACATCCCCATTTTATAGTGGAGGAAACCAAGGCTCAGATTCATTAAGGGATGTGCCCAAGGTCACTGAGATCATAAGAGGTGGGTGGGGGTAGAATCTAGGTTGTTCAACTCCAAAGCCTGTGACTTTTCTAACATTGGGTGGTGGCTGCAGAGGCACCGAGAGCCCCCCAGGGTCAACGGCAGTGTGGTGCCTGCACAACCTGGAACTGTCCGTGAGATGAGCCCCTCAGGAGCGGCCTGGGTTGAGTGTTGCCCTCCACATCTGCAGCATGGAGTCCCGGCGGGTCGTGTAAGGTAAATGTTTGACGCGGAACCAGTGTCTGGGAATGACATTCCCACTGGGCGTATACAGCTTCTCTCCAAGCGTGCCCAACAGACTGCGCAGGGCTAGGTTGCCCGACAGAACTTTCTCATAGAATTCCACTCCTCCCCGGGAATAGGCTGCAGATAGGGAGGCCGTGCGGCGGTCTAGCCAGGCTTCCAGGGCATGAGTGAGTGAGTCCATGGAGAAGGTGTAGGCCACAAAGCCCACTACTGCTGCCACCAGGTTGAAGGCAGCCCGTAAGTTCATGGGGCCCCTGTAGAGCCCCAGTGAATGCTTGGCACCCACACTCAGTGCCCAGGTTCCCGCCAGGCAAGCTGGGGCCGGCAGGGCTTGCAGGACGGGGGCACCACTCTCCAGGTACACCACCTCCCTGGCCAAGGCGAACTTCCGGGCTTCATGGGACAGGTTCAGAGCATCTCTCAGCCGGGCACCTGCAGGGCTTTGCCAATCCACTCTTTGCCCATGTACCACCATAGGCCGGTCAATGTTGGTCAATGGGTCACCCAGGAAGCTGGCAGGGATGCCCACCACGGCCCCTGCAGGGAGTCTTGGGAAGCCAGCACTCACAGGGTAGAAGGTGAAGGTGGTGAAGGCCTCGTAGCGATGGCCTGATGGGATGCCCATGTCCTGTAGCACCTCTCGGAAGAGTAACCGTAGCTTTGGGGAGAGCGGAGCTGGCCGGCCTCGAGACCAGTACTGGTACAGCCATTGAATCGCAGGATCTGGGAGGAGGTGGTAGGAGATTTGGGCCCCAAATAGGCCTGCACAGGAACCCACCAACAGGCCTGTCCTGCGTCTCTGCACAAATGCTGCGGCCCGCCACAGGAGACCTGCCATGAATGCTGCCACCGCTATAAACCTGGGCCAAGAAAAAGAGAAGTCAGCCAACAGTTCCCCGGGTCTGCCTGCAGACTGAACAGCCCCCAGGGCCACATCCTTTTAACTGGTGCAATACAGCACAGTGGTGAGAGCATGGGCTCTAGAGCCTGAGTTCAAATCTCAGTTCCATATCTGTGCACTGCCCTCTCCATCTGCCAAATAGGCATGTCACAATGGTCCATTGCTAGGTGGCTGTGATGAGTAAATGAATGAACACACATAAAACAATCAGTGTCTGGCACAGCAGTAGACACCCCTTATGATAATATCTACGATTATTACTTTTATTCCCATGGCTAGACAGAGCACTAAGTACTCAACTGCCTCACTTCACTATTAGGGAAGCACTATGACCACTAATTTATAGATGAAACAGTTCAACTCATTGAGTACTACTATCTGCTAGACATAGTTCTGAGAGCTTCATGTATATTATCTTACAACTGAATGCTCAGAACTCCATGACCTAATTATTACTATTGCCCCTATTTTAAAGCAGTAAAAACTGGGGCACAGACAGGTTAAGTAAGGTGGTCAAAATTCCAAACTAGTAAAGTGGCAATGTTAACGGCTGAATTGTATGCGCCCAAATTCATATATTGAAGTCCTAACTCCCAGTACCTCAGAATGTATTTAGAGATGAGGCCTCTAAAGAGGTAATTAAGTTAAAATAAGGTCATTAGGATAGGTCCTAATCCAATATGTATGGTGTCCTTATGAGGAGAGATTAGAACGAAGACACATACGGAGGAAAGACCATGAGAGGGGACACATCAGAAATCATCTACAAGACAATGAGAGAAGTCTCAAAAGAAACCAGCCTTGCTGACATCTTGATCCTGGACTTCCACTCTCTAAAATCATGAGAAAATAAATTTCTGGCACCCAGTACATGTCATGCAGCCCTAGCAGACTAATATAGCCACATTATTTGAACACAGGCTGTCAGGAGTTCACGGCAAACTTCATTAAAAAAAAAAAAAAATTGATGCTAAATTGTAAACATACAAAAGTAAACAAAATAGTACACCAACTTCAGTCATTAACAACTCATGACCAATCTTGCTTCATCTCTATTCCCACCCACATTCTCCCTCCAACTGACTTATTTTGAAACACATCACGGGCATCCCATTATTTCATCCGTAAATATTTCGGTAAAAATTCACAATTACTTAACTTTGAAGCTTACTGTCATCCTGTGAAAAGTTTAATTAGCAAATAAGTTGCTGAAAACAAGAACGGGGATACCGCTTGGCCTATTTCAATCAAAACTCTTAAAGAATGACAAACCTTGGGCCTTTTTTCCACGGTAGAAACTGATGTTAGAAAAGGAAAGGTCCTGGTCGAGGTCCCAACGCCTCAGGGCTACCAGGGCTCCAGGTCGGCCTCGGAGGCAGCGCGGCGAATTCCTTTGGCGGCTGTGCGAGAAGGGGTTCCTGTACCCTCGCAGAGATCTTCCCGTTGGGTTTCCATCCGGGCCCCGTAGGCTACGCCCGAGGCTCGAACATTCTACTGGGAAGAAACCTGGGAAGGGGGCCCGGCCCCTGGGTCCGCGCTGCAGCCCACCCCTACCCGGACGCTCACACGCTCACCTCTTCAGCAGCAGGTTGGGACGCCGCGACACGTGCGCGGGGCGGTGGCCGCAGCAAAGCACGCCGGCCGCGTTCTAGGGGAGGGGCCAGGCGCAAAGCACGCTTGTTGGAACAAAGCACGCTTTGGGGGCGGGACCGGAGCGGGGCCGGGGCGGTGCTGGGGGCGTGGCGTGGGGAGGAGGCTGCTGGCTGATCCGGCGGGTGCTAGTTGCTCCTACCCAACTGAGTGCCTTGAGCGACCCGCAAAGACCTGGCTGTGGGTTGGTCACCTTGTTTAATTCTCGAGGAGACGGCGATCCCGCGTGTGCTAGGAGGCGATCCATAGCAGAGCCTCCATTGGAGCCCATACCCACCTGACTTTTCCTGTTTGGAAGCGCTCACCGCCGGTGGTGTGTTCTGGGCTTTATTTTAATTACAAAGTCTGCTGCCTCTCCCTGCCTAACCCCCCTCCATTTCTCTCAAGTGATCGACATTATACAGTCTACAGAGCAGCGTCACATCTGTCACCTCACCTTGGCATCAGCTCTAACAGTAAGTCAGGGACGATGGGCTTGCCTGTGCACTTAGCCCAGTTCGCCACCTGTTTTTGTAAAGTTTTATTGGAGCGTAACCACAACCATTTATTTACAAGTCGTCTGTGGCAGCTTTCCCAAGAAGGGCAGCATTGAGGAGCAAGAACAAAAACAACCTGACCCAGAAAGGCTAAAATATATACTATCCAACCGTCACAGAAAAAGTCTGTGGACCCTTGAAGCAGACTATTCCCATTTTAAAGATGAAGAAACTGAGGCACTTAGCTTGAACTCGGGGCCCAGCTCACAGGCACCGAATCAGAATAGGATGACTTTGGTCCCTGTACATTTCCCACTAGGGCTCCTTCCTTCATACAAATTCATCCTAGGGGTCTTGCTAATTCTCCCAAGTGGGTTGGGCCTCTGTGTGTCTTTCTCTTCCATATGAGCTCCCAGGGAGGGGGAAAAGGTGAGGCTGCAAGAAAAGGTGAGGATGAAAGGAAACCCAGAAGTGCGTGGGCATTGGGGTGGAGCTTTGGAAGGTGAGCAGCCTGTGGATCACTGCGTCTCCTGACAAACCACAAGCTCACCCCTCTTTGCAAGGCTCCTGACCACAAAATGACCAGTTGCAGTGGGTCAGTAGGGATCATACTTGATTGCCAGCTACCCCTCTGTGTGTAGCATCCTATGAGGACACCTTGGGGTCTGCATTCCCTGTCTCAGGCTTGGAGTGGCCACTTGAGGAGTCATAGACTGGTCAGGCAGAGAGATCCTTTTTGACATTAGGGGAGAACCTGGACCTGGTATGGCTGTCCCCAGACCTGGGCCAGTGCTTCAGCTCAGAACCAGTGCTTAGGGAGACTGCAACCCAGGGAATGAGACTGTTCTTAGGAGGCAGAGGGCCCTTGGGTAAGGGATGTCACTTCCCTAGATCTCAGTTTTCTCTTCTCTAAAATGAAGATAATAATATCTGTCTCAAAGGGCCTTGTTACACTCTAATCCTAGAAGCCACTTGGGCACTCTCATTTGCACTAATTAGTGGTTCCCAACCTTTTTGGCACCAGGGACTGGTGCTATGAGAATCTAATGCCTGATAATCTGAGGTGGAGCTGAAGTGGTGATGCTAGTGCTGGGGAGTGGCTGCAAATACAGACGAAGCTTTGCCCGCTTGCCTGCTGCTCACCTCCTGCTGTGCTGCCCAGTTCCTAACAGGCCACGGAGGTACTGGTCCATGGCCCAGGGGTTGGGGACCCCTGGCATAACTGAAGGGGTGGGGGGGAATGATACTTCAGGGCACTTGCCCTTGAATAGGACTTGGGGTCTCCCTTCAATCTTGGCCTTGAAAGGCAACCTGTCTGTCACAAAGGGCTTCTGTGACCAGCTGTAAATCTGGCAATGGTGAAGAGCACAGATGCTCTTAGCCCCATGGCTAAGATTAGATTCTCACTCTACCCCTTACTAGCTGTGTGACTTTGGGTAAGTTAACCTTTCTGGACCTGGTGTTCTCATCAATAAAATCAGGATGAGAGTACCATCTACTTCTTAGAGTTATTGTAGGGAGTCAATGAATTCACAGTTTGTGCTATATAACTATAAACTATTAGTAAGATCTGTTCTGTTTCTGAGACTCCACTTTGGCTGCTCAGTTGTTCATATGTAAATGATGCTATAACATATTTTAATAAGTGACCTCAGCTAGATCTGGAATATGGTGTATTCTACAGGGCAAATGATGTGATTTCTCTAACAAATTAATGTCATGGAAAAGATGGAGGGAAAGGATACTGTTATAAATAGAAGATTTGAAAGGTATATCAGTTAAATATAGCAATATTTGGCTTTTGTGCGGATCCTGAATCAACGATTAATTTACTAACTGTAAAAAAAGACACCTTTGAGACAACAGGGGAAATATGAATATGGACTGAGTATTAGGTGATATTAATGAATTGTTTATTTTGTCAGGTAGGATGAAGCATGATGTTTATGTAAACCAAAAAGTCTTTATCAGTTAGAAATGCATGTCGAAGTATTTACAGGTACAAAGACATGATGTCTGCTATTTAGTTCCAAATATTACAGTCAAAACAAAATAACAACAACAACAACAACAACAAAAACCAGCATACATGGAACAACATTGACAAAATGTTGGTAGTTGTTGAAGCTTCATGACAAGTTCAGGGAAGTTCAGAATACTGTGTTCTACTTTATGTATATTTGGAAATTGCCATAATAAAATGTTTTGTTTAAATACGTATGTAAAAATAGGCTGACCAATTGGCCTTCATCAAATTAAAAACTTTTGGGCATTGAGAAAGTGGAAAGACAGTCCATGGAATAGTAGAAAATATTTGCAAATCACAGATATGATAAAAGCTTAGTATGTAGAATATATAAAGAACCCCTAACAACTCAACAACAAAAAGGCAAACAAGCCAATTAAAAAATGGGCAATTTGAATAGACATTTCTCCAAAGAGGATATACACATGGCCAACAAGCACAGCAAAATTACCTCAGCATCACTTGTCATTAGGAAATTCACAGTAAGATAAAACTTCACAACCGCTAGGATGGCAGTGAAAACAAAACAAACCAAACCAACAGAAAATAAGTTCAAGGGTGTGGAGAAACTGAAACTCTCATACATTATTGGTGGGAATGTAAAATGGTTCAGCCGCTGTAGAAAACCGTTTAGCAGCTCCTCATAAAGTTAAACATAGAATTACCGTATGATTAAGCAATTTCACTCTTAGAAATATACTCAAAAGAATTGAAAGCAGGTACGTAAGCAAACGTTTGTACATAAATGTTCATATAAGCATAATAACCAAAAGGTGGAAATAACCCAAATGTTCATCAACTGATGAATGGACAAATAAAATATGGCATATTCTATACAATGAAATATTTGGTCATAAAAAGGAATGAAGTGCTGATACACGCTGCAACATGGATGACCTCGAAAACATGCTAAGTGAAAGAAGCCCATCACAAAAGGCCATATATTTTTAAATTCCATTTATGTGAAATATGAAGAACAGACAAATCTATAGAGACAAAAAGCAGATTAGCAGTTTTCAAGGGGTGGGGGAGGGGTAATGAGGTGGGACTGCTAATGGGTGTGGGGTTTCTTTTAGGAGTGATGTAAATATTCTAGAATTAGATAGTAATGATACTTGCATATTATTGTGAATATACTCAAAACCACCGAATTGTACACTTTAAAATCGTTAAAATGTTGAATTTATATCAATAAAAAAAGCATGTTAAAAAAAAATAGGTCTGCCAACTACAGCATCCTGGAGGGCTATTTTTAGAGATGGGGAATGAGAACCCATGGGATAGAAAGGCTGGGCTTCGAAAAAGAAGAGTATGTGGTCATCTATATTGTGTGCTATATAAGTCATGCATCCCCACGACTTCCTCACCACTCCTTGGATGTTCATTCATTTACTCATTCAGCTCCTGCCCTGTGCCAAGGGCTGGGGATAATACATGGATAAGAAAGAGTCGCAACCCTCGGGTAGCTTCCAAGTCAAGAAATGAAAAACACAAGCAAATTTATGTAGACAAATAGTCCTCCCTCTTCCTTATAGTAGGGCCACAAATGAGGGAGTGCTAGCTCTTCCTCAAAGAGGTACCCTTGTATCTGAACTTAGGAAGACTAGTTGCAATTTGCTGGGAGGACAAGGGGGCAAGGTGGGGTGCTGTACCTGTAGAGACTGAGTCCCTTGTTTCGGGAGCTGGTGAAGTTTCTCAGTCAGATCCTTTCCTGAGTGTGGGAGTGAATAGGCCATAAAGAGCTGAGGGAGGAGCAGCCATAACAAGATAGGAAAGGCCCCAGAGACATGCCCCTTGGGTGACTTTGGGCTCAGGGGGCAGGCTCTCAGAGATGAGGCTGCACAGTCCCAAAGGCCTCCTCACAAACCTCTATTGTGAGGTTGGAGGGGGCGAGTGTCTGGTACCCTTGGCACAGTCTGCCCAGGCCTTTCTCTGTTGGCACTTTGCTGCTGCCATCTGGTGAGCCCAGGAACAGCTGAGATTTCTTGCTCCTTCTCCTCCTTGCTGGGATCCTCCTCCTTCTTTTCAGGAATGTCCTGCTCCAGGTCTGGAAGAAGCTGGCCTGACCCAAGGTAGGCCCAGATAGGCTGGTGCAAGGGCTTGTTCTTTGTTCCAAGGAGCTCCTATTGTCCCCCTGCCAACTGGCTCTTACTGGGGACAGTGCCCAGAAGTGCATCGGCCGGTTGTATACTGAGTTCACAAACATGTCCATGAGTGGTGCGCTAGGGCTGTTGGCTAGTCAGTCATCGTGGGGGTAGAACTGAAGGTGCTGGCCTTGCTTCGCTGGGGCTGACTCCTCGTTACCCATTCTTTCTCCCTCCACCTGTGGGTCTGGTCAAACTTTCAGTAAAAGTTTGCTTATTCAGTCAACACATTTATTTAATACATTTATTTACTTAGCAGCTTATTTATTCAGCAACATCAGAAAATAAGATAATTTCCAGCAGGGATAAGGCTACTAAGGAAATAAAGCTGGTACTGTAACAAGATGGAAGCTGCTATT